GGGCAGGCGGGAATCGAACTCATGTAGAAGTGGCTTTAGCTTCTCAGTGCTGTGCTTTAACCCGCTGCGCCACAAGGGAGGGCCTTTTCCATTATTCTTAATGGTGGGGATTAGGACAAAATCAGCTACAAATGTAACTTCTTATTCTGTGGCTATGTGACAATCAGAGGCCCTTGAGCAATCACCCCAAGATGGCCCTTTTGTCTGTGGTTGGCACTTCTGGGGGTGGGCCTGCACCTTGCACACCACCCCCTCGCCTTCCATGGGGTATATGGCATGGTGTGGCTTCTCATCTAGTCCTGCAGGAGGATTTTCCTCATCATTAAATAATTTCTTTTATGTGTTGCCCTCCCCAGCAATTACATTTTCATCAGTCACTCCCTTTAATCAGAAAATGACTTAGCCACCTCTGATGTTTACACCTTAATTGGAAGACTTGCTGGATTTACTGATGGAGGAATTAGATAGTTTTTGTCATGGAAGAAAGGCCTTTGAAGCATCAGCCAGTAACTGCTCTCTCTTTAACTTGATTAGTGTGCTTTAGGTGACCGGTAAGATTCCATGCTCTGAGGTGCTGGGCTTTACTCAGAATGATCACCACCCTTTGAATGAGAATATGAAACCCTAAACTGTTTCTTTTAACTTGATGACTTATAGGCTCCCATGTGTTTTGCCATGTGTCTGATTATTTCCAGACTTATAAAAAGGTCAGAGGATGTTGTCAACCCCTGGAGTTTCTGTCCTTCCTCTTTCCACCCAGAACATGACTTTTCATCCAAGGGACCACACCTTTTTCCATATTGTTCTAAGAAAGCCACATTAGGACTCCCAGACATAAAAGCATCTGAAACATGTCAGAAATCCCCCCTAGAAATAGCCTATTGTGCTGGAAAACACAGAGCAGATTGAGCAACTGCAAGATGCTTAGGTGGTTTGCTATAAATACGATCAATGTCCAGAGAGCCTATAGCGGGTGGCATTGTGATAACTACAGCCTGGGGGGCATCCGCTCAACCCCCATAAAATATTCTTGACATTCTTTAGGCTTATACAGGCTTTTCTTCAAGATACTACAAAGAGTGTTAAAAGAAA